AAACTCATTAATAGGCATGGCGATGGTTTTGTGTAGCACCTTAAAAGAATAAATGCATAAGAATATTGGGGATACAAAACTATACTTTTAGGCTGCTTGTGAGCTCTGCTTTTAATGGGGGAAACCCCCTTTAACACTGCATTCTGACGCAAACATAAATTAAAGCATTTTTAACAGTTTCTTTCATTTTTAATCAAAAAGTAGACTCATTTCAGAAAATAACTCAAAGTGATTTATGTAGCGAGTATTCTTTCTAGTTACAGCAATACATTATAAAGTGGTGTGAGGATTGTGACCATTGCATGTTATTTTAGTTTATTATTTATATACCATTATACAGTATATGTGCTACATTTTGGTGCCCCCCCCCCATATTTATTAGTTTTATAATTTCAGTTAGTTGACAACATTTTTGATCATTTTTGAATTTGAGTTTTCATGTGATATTTATATTGTATTTGGATTTTGTATTCAGATTTAATAGATTCAGATTTAACTTGTATTCAGATTAAATAGTTTGTTTTTATTCAGGTTTAAATTAAATCAAGCCCAAGGGGCATATTTTGTAACAATTTTTAATAATGTAGTAGGTCACTCTTTATTCTGCTTCATATTTGCCTGTATTGCAAAAGCTTGTGTTTATAAGTAGGTTTATTGTGCATTCTCAATGTGGTGGGTGGGGGTGCTGGTGAGAAATAGGCTTAAAAGTTAATCTCAGTGATGATGCTCACCTAGGTAGAATGAATAATGGCTGCAAAATAAATACATACCGATTATGCGTCACAGATGGATGTGTGAAAAACTTGTTTTTGTTGTTTTGCAAGACTCTGGATAAATTGAGCAAAAAATCTGAGATTAATTCTGAGAATCTGAGAGCACGATTCTGAACGGACAACAAAATAACGTGATTTAGGTTCTTACAAAATGTTTAATTGCTGAACTCTATTTAAAATGTTGTTTATTTGAATAATGGTGTGATTTTGTCCGTAGACACTGCGAATTGTGGTCATTTAGGAATGAGATCGTGTAGGATTTACATTTTTTATTTTATTTTATGTGCAGCTCTAGTTGACTATTGTCTATTGACCACATCAAAACATTTGATATCAATGCTAATCCATTTTTAAGTGGCTCCTTAAAAGGATTAACATCATAGTTTCTTTGCCACTTCAAAAAAAAGGCCTTTTGCAAAGCTGTATCTGCGAAACCTTAGTCTCAGGAATTTTTGAAAAAGCCTCTGGGTGATGTTAACCCTATTGAACCATTTGATATAACATGCCGTCTTTATGTGGATTGTTGTGACGAGAACATACTCATAGATCAAAGTAAAATGTCATGTTTATATTTAGACATTAAAGAAACACTTCACCCATTTGCATTAAGCTTTGTATCTTTAGAAACCCAGTCATATTTTTGAATGGTCATGGTTTATTGCCTTATTTTCCCCTGCGATGGGAGAAATAAGGATTTAAGTGTTTTACTTCCTGCGTATTATGATGTAAAAATCGTAATTTTGCGTCATAATAAGCAGGAAGTCACATTTCATTGAAAAGTGTAGAGACTACAAACATTAGCTCATTATTATTCAAGGGGGCGGGACCCACTCATGCTACAGACCTATTACAGTTCAGTGGGTGGGACTTCACTTGCAAATACTGAAATCAATATCAGCCATCTTGTTTGGAAGCTAAGCTAACAAGCGTTGTGGAGATAGGAAGTATGACAATGATGGAAGAAACTAAACATGACAGGGCTCCAGACTGCGACCAAATGGTCGCATTTTGCGACCAAAATTTGAGAGTGTGCGACTGATTTTTACATCCAGTCGCACATGTGCGACCAGTAAATTTGCCGCACGTTAAACGCATGGTAAAGCGTGGAAGGGGCGCGTCAATGAATCCGTGACAAGAATAGCGCGCGTAAACGTCTGTGGGAAGGAGACGGAGACAAATATCACAACCTGATGTGCGTCTGAGCAATCGGCGATCTATCGACTCGTTAGTCGTTACCTAGCAACGAATGCAAACAAAATGAAAGTGGAACGAAAATACGCCACTCATAGGACCGTGGAGCAGCAGCAGCGATCCGAACCATTGACGGTAAAATAAAGCCCCGAACTTGCCAGTCACGGGCCGATCTCGCTCACGCAACACTGTTAATAGGAGATCCCCAGTGAAGAAATCCATTGAATTCGTCTCAGAATTAATAACATCATCGCTACGAGATCCAGTGAGGGTCTCAGATTCGGAACACTCAGATTCGGCGCAGAGTTCTGAACCATATCAGATCAAACAGCGCTGACGTGGAAACCAGGAGAAACACTTATAGAAGGCTTTCAGTCCACAAATCAGCCTAACAGAACCATGGATTTAGGCTATGTAGTAAGTTAACTCTAACCATAAATATGATAATGTGTAAGAAAATCAAATGCTTACAAGTAGCCTACACATCTTTTCCCAGCACTTCAATAATATGAAATATAAATGTTTTATTTTTTAGTATTTTTTATGTGATTACCAACACATTTTTTGTTCATCCTTTAAAGATTGTCCTAAAAAGAAAAATTTTGAGATGCTGGAAAACTCTTATTTAAACACTTAAAAAAAAATAATAATACCATTGTAAACATTAGGATGTTTAATTGGCTATTTTTACTCCATATACATATTTTCACTACTTTTATTAATTAATATTAAGACATTATAAATGATAATAACTAAAGTTAATTTCATCTACACCCTAAATTAAGCTTAGTGATTTATTGTCAGCACCAGTGCTACCAGATTTTTTTTTTTTTTTTTTTGTAGAACTCGCTGTGAGTTCTCATTTGAGGTGGTGCTGCCCTCAACTTTGAGTCTGAAACCCTGTGAACTTAAAACAAAACAGCATATCATAATGTTAAGTCTATTTATTATTAAAGAATTTGTCAGTATTACAGTTATTTTGGGGGAAATTTGAATAATTGCATTGCAAGCTGATTTAAGGTGTGCCCCTAAATTTTCAGCTTGCGCTCCTAAAATTTTCAGTTGGGGGCAACAGCGCTCCTAGTAAAAAAAGTTAGTCTGGAGCCCTGCATGATATGCAAGACGAGGATTTTTAAATTCTGCTGCTTGGATCCGATGTTCGTGGCTATCTTTACGAGCCTCAGTAAAGAGAAATGCAGCTGAGGCTGATTGAGGAACAGGAGGCGGCTGTCTGTCGCGGTCGAGGAGCCCGGACTGGCTCGAGCTGGGCGGACTACCGGACACAGATAGAGTCCGTCTGCTGCAGAGAATTTCAACGATGGCAATTTCTCCTGAACGAAATCTCTGAATCAGACGATCACACGGACATTTGTGTTGTGATGTGAGAACCATCCTAGTTTCGCCAGACTGAACATCCAGGTATCATGCAGAAATTCACCATATAGAAATAAATACAATGAGTTTGCCAATGTAACGTTAACGGGGTTCGTTGTTGTGGGAAGGAGGAGGCGGGAACCCGCGAACATTTAAACATTTTAATAGTAAAATGAACAAATACAAAATAAAAGTTTAAGCCATTAGCCCTTCATTGACGACTGATGTCTACACACTACAGAAACAAAACTCAACATAAAATCAGGCCCCATTTCTCTCTCGATCTGCTCTGTCGTCGCTCCTCCTTTATCATGCCTCCGCTCCTCCGTGAGAGATGCGAGACCGGTGCAACTCTATATGTGCGTCTCACAGGTGTCTTTCATTATCACTCACGCCACCGGCCGCGCACCGTCCTCTCACATCCCTCGCCCTCGTCCTGCTCGCCACAGCCAACTAACTAGAAATTTTGTTGTTTTCCCTTTTCTCAGGCAAGAGGGCACAAAATTAAAAAAATCTTTTACATTTCGACTACATATATGATCCACTTTCAATAAAGAATAAT